TCCACTCACCTCAGCCTCCCCAAGGCGCGGGATTACAGGCTGAGCCACCAAGCCCGGCTGGCAATTATGTTTAACCTCATAAGATAATACAAGTGAGATCCAAGGTGCCCCACACAGTGTCTGGCAGGGAGTAAGAGGCTGGTAAGTGTTAACTAAGTGTTAACTATGACTCTTATCACATTTCTAGTGCATTTGCTCACAGAGCCAGTGGGGATCTGTTTTTCTCGGTGTCAGGCTGACAGCTGAGGGCTCACGCTTCCATCTTGGACAAGAATCTGCGCTGGGAAACAGTCCTTCCCCAGGGACTCGTTAGGAAACAGCAGTGAAGTACTGACTGACTAGCCTCTCACCAGTGAGCCACAGCCCACTGTGCCCAGCCGTCCTACCTCTCTCTGCCCAGCACAGTGCCCCAGAGGCAGCAAGGCGGCTGGTCCCTCGGCGGAGCTCAGGGAAGGGGAGGCTGGTGGATCTGATGGCGGCTGAAGGAGGGTGAGTGGGATCTGCAGAGACAGAGGTAAAGTTAGCACAGCAGCTGTCTGGCCTGTCTGGTCCCTACTTCCCCGCCAAGCCAGGCCTTCCCATGCAAGGGATGTCTCCTGGCCCAAGGTGTGGCTCTTGCTACTGTCCCCACCCATGGGTAAGAGGAGCCTCAAGAGATTACAGCACAGGTAGATTTGAAGATAGTGAAAGCAGGCAGCACAGAGTGAGACCAGTCAGAGGACTTTGGAGAAACAGGAATGTTCTGGGCCCAGAGGGCAGCGGCAGGTCCAGCCCAGGGTGCGCATCTTGGCTGCAGGACTAGTTTACTTTTTGGTGGGACTCCTTCCCCTATTGCCTACAGGGTGACCGCAAAGGCCCCTTCCTGTTCCCAGATCACAGGGATGGCTGAGACAAATGATCTCAGATGGTCTTAGAAGAGATGGCAGGGAGCTGTCATGCCTGTCTTCCCTGCCTGGTCTCACATGCAACATCTCTGAGGGACTGCACAAGGAAGATTTAATCATGGGCACTTCTCTCGCAGTTCCTGAGAATGTAATTTCCTTCTCCCAGGCTTCTTGGCTAGATATGAGTACGTTTTAATCCCTCCCTCTCCCTCTGTCTCCACAGCCTTTCAGCCCTGTCTGTGCAGCATCTCTCAGCCTCCCCTCTGGCTGCGGCAGTCAGCTCCTTCAGGCCAGATCTTCCGCCTCTGGCCTGGACACTGCTCAGCATCTCAATCAGTCTCCTTGACCTGGTTTGGTGGCCTTCCAATCTCCCGGGCACAAGGCAGCCTATAGCATCTTTTTCTTTTCTTTTTTTTTGAGTTGGAGTCTCACTCTGTCGCCCAGGCTGGAGTGCAGTGGCACAATCATGGCCACCACAGCCTCAACCTGCTGGGTTCAGGCGATCCTTCTGCCTCAGCCTTTCAAGTAGCTGGGGCTACAGGCATGCACCACCACACCCGGCTAATTTTTTTATTTATTATAGAGACAAGGTCTGGCCAAGTTGTCCAAGCTAGTATCAAAACCCTGGGCTCAGACAATCCTCTCACCTCTGATTCCCAAAGTGCTGGGATTATAGGCGTGAGCTACCACACCTGGCTATCTTTATCTTTGTGCTCAAAAGCCTCCCTCACTGTCCCTTCACACAGCTTACTGATCCCCAGGTTTCCCAGTCCTTGGATCTTCACTTATGCTGTTCTTTCCACAGGAAATCCCTTCTTTCCAACCCCTAACTTCACTCTTAAAATCTCCCATCCTTCCATCAAGAGCCAATGTCATCTCCTTACAGGAACTTTCTTTTTTTTTTTTGAGTTGGAGTCTCACTCTGTCTCCTGGCCACCGCAACCTCAACCTGGTGGGCTCCGGCGATCCTTCCGCCTCAGCCTTCTGAGTAGCCGGAACTACAGGCGCGCGCTACCACGCCTGGCTAATTTTTTGATTTATTGTAGAGATGAGGTCTCGCCTGCCCAGGCGGGTCTTGAACCCACGGGCTCAGGCAATCCACTCACCTCAGCCTCCCAAAGGTGCGGGATTACAGGCTGAGCCACCGAGCCCGGCTTTACAGGAACTTTCTTAGCCCTTCTCTGATGACCTCTCCTCATCACCCCTGGCCTCTTGGATGGCGTGGTTGCACTCTGCTTTGTGGCATGGCAGTCTGCACCTGTCTCAGCTCCCAGCAGTCCTAGCCTTCCAGGGTTATGTTCGCCTGCACAGGACACAGCTCTTAGACAGGGTCTTGCAATTCAGTCTAATTCCACACTTGTTGGCAGGGACACTGCCCACAGTGAAAGCTTAACTAGCATTTATGTAAAGGAGCTTTCATCCTAGCAAGCACAACCTGCAAATCACGTTGATAATGATAACAGTGGCTCATGCCTGTAATCCCAGAATTTTGGGAAGAGGAGGCAAGAGGATTGCCTGAGCCCAGGGGTTCAAGACCAGCCTGGGCAACATGGTGAGACCTTGTCGCTACAATAAATCAAAAAATTAGCTAGCCATGGTAGTGCGCACCTGTGATCCCAGGTTCTTGGAAGGCTGAGGCAGAGGGATAACCTGAACCCAGCAGACTGAGGCTGTAGTGGCCATAATCATTCATCTGCCCTCCAGCCTGGGCAAGAGACTGTGATTCTGACTCAAAAAATAATAATAATGATAAATAGCTGCCACTTATTGACTCCTCTCAACAATGTGCAGTATGGGTATTTTTATCCCTATTTATGAAGAAAAAAACTACAGTCCATAAAGCTAAGTAATCTGCCCAAGGTCACAAAGCTAAGAAGCAGCCAAGTTAGGGATCCAACCCAAGTTTATCTCAGGCCAAGGTTCATGCTGTTTCCATGACGTCATCTTAACTCTGGGGAAAATAAACCTATTGCCCCAAAACCTCAAGAGGTTTTGGAATTCATTTGGGTAAAAAGTAAATGATTTAAGAAAGCCCTGCCCCTCTGTTATCTGTAGTCATTGAGAAGGGTGTGGCTGGGCCTCTGGGGATTCCAGGGTGAGCCCTGTGGCAGGGAAAACTGCAGAGTCACTGCCACTTTTTAAAACAAATTTTTATTTATATATTTATTTATTTTGAGTTGGAGTCTCACTCTGTCACCCAGCCTGAGTGCAGTGGCACACTCACAGCCACTGCAGCCTTGACCTGCTGGACTCAGGGATCCTTTCGGCTCAGCCTTCCAAGTAGCTGGACCTACAGGTGCGCGCTACCATGCCCAGCTAATTTTTATTTTTGAGTTGGAATCTCACTCTGTCGCCCATCCTGAGTGCAGTTGCACTCTCATGGCCACCACAGACTTGACCTACTGGGCTCAGGTGATCCTTCCACTTCATACTTCCAAGTAGCTGGAAATATAGGCGTGTGCCACCACGCCTGGCTAATTTTTTTTTTTTTTTTTTTTTGAGTAGGAGGCTGATTTTTTGATTTATTGTAGAGATGAGGTCTTGCTGCCCAGGCGGGTCTCAAACCCACGGGCTCAGGCAATCCACTCACCTCAGCCTTCCAAAGGCGCGGGATTACAGGCTGAGCCACCGAGCCCAGCGTTAATTTTTTTATTATAGGGACGAGGTCTCGCCAAGTTGCCGAGGCTGATCTTGAACCCCTGAGCTCAGGCAATCTTTTCACCTCGGCCTCTCAAAGTGCTGGGATTACAGGCTTGAGCCACCAAACCCGGCTTTTTTTTTTTTTTTTTAAATCAGGGGTCTCGCTTTGTTGCCCAACCTGGAGTGCAGTGGCATGATCACAGCTCACTGCAGCCTCGACCTCCTGGGCTCAGGGAACCCTTCTGCCTCTACCTCCTGAGTAGCTGGGACTACAGGTGTAGGCCATCACACCTGACTGCCGCTGATTCTGACAGCTCTGTACAGGCCTGGTGAGAAGAGGCCTCTAGCGTTGTCATGGCGACAAGGACCTGGCTTCCTACTCCTAGTGAGTGCAGGGATTCCCTGCTTAGAGCCTGGAGGCCAACAGCTGCCTGGTGTGCATCAGACAGACAGACATGTGTGCACATACACAGAAAGTGCTTCTCTTCTTGTCAAAGGAGGGGGCTGGCTGACCTCAGAAACATCCCATTGTTCCCCTCAGATCACTAGAGCTGCTCTTGATCCGCCCAGCCCCATGTCTCACTCCATTCTTGGGGGTTCCTGACAGGGTCGCCTCAAGTGACACCTTAACTCAGTCCGGGATTGACTCCCAGGAACCTTCTGCTTCTCCTGGGGAGGCAGGCGGGCAGTGGGGACTGTCTGTGAATCTGTGGTGTGTCAGTATACACAACTATCTGTACAAACATGGTTATCAGAACAAAGTGCCTTTCCTGACCTCTCCATGACACCAAGCCCCACCCCTTCCCCTGGCCAAAAGAGGCCATGTCAGTGGCCAAAGAGGCCTCTTGGAAGCTTGAAATCGTTGCATATACAGCCTCCACCCATCTCTCCACACAGGGCAGGAGTGAGTGCAAAGTTTCTCTGTCAACAATAAGGGATGCCATCTAGCTGGTGGGAACACCCGGGAGACAGGGAACTGTAAGTTCGCGGGAACTGCTAAGTTCGCGGGGACTCAAGTGGCTTTCACCTCATCTGAGGCACAAATCAGGTTGGGCGGGCCTTGCCTGGATGGCTATAGCCCCAGATTGGAGCGGGACGGCTGATGGCCCGCTTCTGCAGGTACCTGTGAGAAGAGACAGTTATGCTGTGGCCTGGGATGGGGAGGCAGGAAGCAGAGCTGTGGGAGGGCAGGAGGCGTGCATGCCCACCTGAGGGAGAGAGCCTGTTGTGAGCTGGAGTTTCTGCTGGAACAGGGCGCTCAGCATCTGGTTCTGCCGCTCCAGGTCAAACACCCTCTTCTTCAGCTTGATGCACTCCTCTCGCAGGTCCTGGGCGGGTCCAGGAGGAGGCCGGCGAAGGGAAGGGGAGGACGGCCGGAGAGGGAGAGATGTGTGAGCATGGTCCTCTTCATCAGAGCAGCAGACGTGGTCCCACCTACAGGCCCCAGGACCTCTGTGGGGCAAGCCTTTCTCCTGCAACCTCTTCCCATGAGGGATCTGAGCCTGCCAATGTTTGCAGCTGGTGCATCTTCTGGGGATGGGAAATGCTCTGAAGTTTCTGACCCCTGGTGGAGGGTCAATCTCATTCTCTTTGTCACCTTTCCCATCCCTGGAGCCAACCCCCTGCCTCTTAGAAACCACACATCAAAGGAGGGCTCACAGAAGGCAGAGGAAGGGGCCAAAGTGGCCCACGTGCCAAGAGTTATCCACAGTATTTATTTATTTGAGTTAGAGTCTAACTCTGTCACCCAGGCTGGAGTTCAATGGCAAAATCATCCCCCACTGCAGCCTCAACCTCCTGGGATCAGGCGATCCTTCTGCCTCAGCCTCCAGAGTAGCAGTAATCACAGATGCACACCACCACATGCGGCTAATTCTTTTTTTTTTTTTTTTTTTTGTAGCGATAAGGTCTCACTATGTTGCCCATGCTGGTTTTGAACTCCTGGGCTCAAGTAATCCTCCCGCCTCAGTCTCCCAAAGTGCTGAGATTGCAGATATGAGCCGATAGTAAATATTTATATGCTACTTATGCTCACAACATCAACACTGCCTTAAGGGTCATTACAACATGGAAAAGTCAGCTGGGCCCAGGATAAGGGGAGGATTCAAGCCCAAATCAATGGCCATAGCTCAGAGACCTGACTTTACCTAGTTTCACCCTGTCTCCAGCTAGGATACTATGGACCTGCCCAAGGTTGGTAGTGGGGACGAAAATCACTGGAGGGCAACAGGCCATCTTCTCCAAGCCCTCAGTGAAAGCTTGGCTGAGCAGGCTTGGGGGTCCCCAGAAAAGACTGCTCCTGCCAGGGCCTCTCCTAGGGTGTCTGGGTTTGGGGGTGAGAATGTCTCCTGTGGCTACTCACCTTTTGGTTCAGCAGCGCCTGCACCACGTGGTTGGCAACCTGGAAACAGAAAGCCCCGAGGCAGAACTGTCAGCTGACCTAGCTTCTGCCTGGCACAGACAAGCTGTGTCCCAGGATCAGTCCCACCACAGAGCCCTCACACCTCATCCAGACAGCGCTCGTAAGTCTCCCGCTGGTTTTCGTTGGCCTGGGCAAGTGCCGAGTTCTCTGCCTGCAGGAGTGAAGGGGGAAGAGGGCAAAAAGGAAGCTTTGGGAACTATTCTTCCCTGGGGCACATTCCTTTTGGGAAGGGAAGACAAGGAGTCTACCAGCTACACTCTGCTCCAGCTCTTGGCTGTGACCAGATTATCACATGGGAGGCATGCAGATGGACCAAGGGCAGCAGGAGGGCAGGGCTCAGATGGGCAGGTTTTCTGTAAACTCCAAACTCAGTCAGTGGGGTTGGGGAGACACAGTGGTCAGGAGGACCTGAGCTGGGAGGTGCCAGAAGCAAATCTTATTTCCTCAGGAGGTGGGCAGAGCAGGCTGGGGAGAGGAGAACAGGGCCTTAAGAATGTGGTAAGGGTTAGGGTTAGGGCTAGGGTCTCTCAACTTCTGAGTCCTGCATCATCCAGCCCCTTTCTCCTGTGGTCTCTTGGACTACCCCCTCCCTAGAACTGGCAGTTGTATGAAAGTGGGGAGAAGAGAGGCAAAGAAGGGAGACATCTGGGGGTTAGGGCAGCCCACCCCATGCATGCTTCTTGTCCCCGAGCTGCCTCAGGGCTGGAGAGCTAAGGGCAAGGATAGGGCTTCTCAGAGGAACTCTGCGAAGAAACGTTCAGCTTTCCTCTAGCCTGGCAACACCAGCTGAGAGGAAGGCCCACTGTACCCAGACAAGCCACACCAAGCTCAGAGGAGGGGCAGCCCTGGCTCCCCAGGGCTCTGGCTGGCACCTCCGTGCCCACCCTGCCTCATGCCACACCTCCAGCTCTCGCAGTCGGTGCAGAAGCTCCTGGCAGGTGCCCGGCTCCATGCTGCCATCACCACCCTCTCCTGGCGTTGGGTTTCCAGGACCCCCAGCTGGCTGGTCCATGGCTTCTGACATCAGGCCCTGGAACAAGTGAGAGAAGCCCTGGCAGGCTACTCCAGGGCCCAGAGAAGAGGTGAGTGGAGGAGGAGGACAAAGATGAAGCTCTGAAGTATTCTTGGAGTTTATATCAGCACGACTTATGTGCGTAACAGTGTAACAACTCAGAGTCAGGCTGGGAATCTCCTGCTCACAGGACAGACACACAATCTTCCTATCTTAAGAACAGACACAGCCGGGCTCGGTGGCTCAGCCTGTAATCCCGCGCCTTTGGGAGGCTGAGGTGAGTGGATTGCCTGAGCCCGCGGGTTCGAGACCCGCCTGGGCAGGTGAGACCTCTTCTCTACGATAAATCAAAAAATCAGCCAGGCGTGGTAGCGCACACCTGTAATTCCGGCTACTCGGAAGGCTGAGGCGGAAGGATCGCCGGAGCCCAGCAGGTCGAGGCTGCGGTGGCCGGGATCGGCTACTGCGCTCCAGTCTGGGCGACAGAGTGAGACTCCAACTCAAAAAAAAAAGAACAGACACCACTGTTTTATATTCTCACACACACCCTACCATAGGTCATACTATAGTCAATCTCCACTGGGACTGACCTCAAACTGGTGAGTCAGTCAGCCTCCCTGTGCCTCAGTCTCTTTTTATTTTATAAAATAACCTAAATACCTAATCTCACTCAGTGTTTACAAACAAAGATTAAGTCTGTGAAAGTGATCTGCAGGAGTTAAAAAAAAAAACTACTTAAAACATGAGACTTATTATTCCTAACAGTAACATATATAATATATATGTAATTATATACATATATTTTGAGTCAGAGTCTCATGCTGTCACCCAGGCTGGAGTGCAGTGGCATGCTCACAGCTATAGCATCCTCGACATGCTGGGCTCAGGTGATCCTTCCTTCTCAGTCTTATAAGTAGCTGGAACTATAGGTATGCACCACCACGCCGAGCTAATTACAATAATAATTTAAACTAATTTGACAAGTAAGACAACTAGGATTTTGTCCTGATGACCAGTGGCCCCTGCCTGGGGCAGGGACATGCTCTAGGTAATGGGCAATGGACAAAACTATGGCTTTGTAGCTAAGAGGCTCTATCTGGCTCTGCCCAACATGAGCTGGGCAGACACATGAAAGCTTGCTGAGCTTTGTTCAACCAAGTGATTCTCAGTTTCCTAATTCTGAGAACTGGACAGAAGGTTGTTGTAAGAATCAAATGTGACTACCCAATGGATGGTGTCCTGAGAACTAGACCTCAAAGGTGCTGCCCACATGACTCAGGCACGTGTGGAGAATAGAGCGGAGCCTGGGGCTGGGTGCCCTGGGTTTTAGTCCTGACTCCAGTGCTCACCTGCTGGGTCACCCTGGGACAAGGCCCCTCTCCCTGGGCCTCAGACTCCTCCTGGATACAGTGGAAAGTGCCCTGCATGCCTCCAAGTTTCCCCTTTCTAGCTCCAGTTGCACTAGGCACCCACTGGCCTGGGAGAAGCTAGGCCCCGGTGGGCCAGCCTCTTTGTGTAGGCTGGTCCCTCTGCTGGGGTCTTTGACAACACCCCCCCTTCCATTTGGCTAGCTCCTTCCTATCACTCTTCAGGGCTCCCACTCCAAGTCTGGTAGACGCTGCTAATGGGAGGTCTATACCGGTCTCCCCCACTAGATAGTCAACTCCATGAGGACAGGTCATTGTACTCTCTTCCCAGTCCAAACTCACACACTTCCTGGTGGCATACCTGAAGAGTAGGAGACAGACTGATGACTCAACAGATTAGTTCACTGGCTACCCACAGCATGCCAGGGTTCTGGCCCGTATCACACTCTGTGATCCTCCCACCTCACCAAATCATTGCCATTGTTATTAGCTTTATTTACTTATTTATTTGAGTTGGAGTCTCATTCTATTGTCCAGGTTGGAGTGCAGTGGTATGCGCATGGCTCACCATAGCCTCACCTCTTGGGATCAGACAATTCTCTCACCTCAGTCTCCCAAGTAGCTGGGATTACAGGTATGAACCAACAACCCGACTAATTTTTTTGTAGAGACGAGGTCTTGCTATGTTGCCTAGGTTGGTCTCAAAACTCCTGGGGTCAAGCAATCCTCCCACCTCAGCCTTTTGAAGCGCTGGGATTGCAGGAATGCGCTATTGCGCCTAGCCCATTACTATCATAGCTTTAACGGGCTGAACTTCATCTTCCATTTGGATTCCAATTTCTCTGCTGGAGGAAAGTGCTCATTTCCTTCTTCTGCATGAATGTTGTGGTGTTTTCCAGTAGATGGGCAACCCTTCTTACTGTAAAAGAGTGGAACCACTGACAACTTCATTGCTTCTCCTTGCTCCACTGAAGCCCCCACAAAAGGGGCTTTTGAACCACAGAAGAAGGGCCTCAGCCGCTCACCACTGAGGCATCTGAGTGCTCGTTCCCCCATTCTCCACAGTGGGACCCTCTCCCTCTCCCAACATGCCTGACCCCAGCGCCCCTCACCTGTCTCTGCCCCCTCACCCAGGTGGGCACGCTCACTCTTGCATCCAAAACGGTCACCTCCCCTGTGGAGAAACAGGGAGATGTCAGTCGTGTGCCCCACAGGCACGTATCAGGCTTCTGCCATGAGCCAGGCTTGGGCACACAGGGGCATATAGCCAGAGAGCCCTGCCTTTATGATGCTTCCACTCCACTGCGCCAGGCAGACAATACGCCATGCTGGGTTGTAATGAGACACCGAGATGGCAATTGAGCAGAGACCTGAATGAAGTCCAGATGAAATCCGGGAACGAGAAAAGTGGCCGGGGCAAGCAAATAGCCTGTGCAAAGTTCCCCAGCTCTCAGCCAGGAATCCCTCGGATAATGGTTGAGAAACAGCAGGAACACCTGGTGCTTCATGAACCTTCCACAGCATACCCTGTCCTCTCTAATCCTTATCACCACAGAGGGAGTTAACAGCCATTATCAGCTCCTGTATTTTAATTTTTATTTTTTTGAGTTAGAGTCTCACTCTGTTGCCCAGAATGTAGTACAGTGGCATGCTCATAGCCACTGTAGCCTCGACCTGCTGGGCTCAGGCAATCCTTCCGCCTCAGTCTTCCAAGTAGCGGGAACTACAGTTGCGTGCCACCACGCCTGGCTAATTTTTTTGATTTATTGTAGAGACAAGGTCTTGCCAAGTTGCCCAGACTGGTCTTGAACCCCTGGGCTCAGGCAATCCTCTCACCGTGGCCTCCCAAAGTACTAGGATTACAGGCCTGAGCCACCGCGTCCAGTTCATATTTTTTATTTTTTGTAGGTAGAGATGGGTCTTACTATGGTGCCCAGGGTGGTCTCCAACTCCTGACCTCAAATGATCCTCCCAAAGTACTGGTATTACAGTGATGAGTCATTGTGCCTAGACCCTATGCTTATTTTTAACACTCCACAACAATCTAAAGTCCTTTGTTATTTTAACATCACCAAAATGTATCATGTTTAACTTGGTTTGCGGTAGCATTATCAGGTTTGATACCCTTACAGGCCTGGGGAAAAAAAAAGAAAAAAAATTCAGGAAATTTCCTTCTTTTCACACTCAAATAAGGGGTTAAGACCAAAAAAGGCCACCTCTACCATTCGACCACCATTTCTCCAGGCCATCATCCTCCCACTGCCTAGGAGAGACCTGCTCCAACGATCACCAGTGTTTCCCTCCATCCCCTCACCATTTATTTCCCCAGTGGAAACTTCTAGAAAGAGAGGGGTTGGGGGAAGGAGGTATGCAGTGGAGAATGAGAAAAAAGTTAGGAAGGGAAGGAAATGGGATGAAAAGGACAACGGTGAAGCTGGGCAAAGCCCAAGGTTCTGTGTTCTTCACATAGAAATATAAACCAAACAAAGGATGAGGTAGTCTAGTGGAATATCTTTTCCTAAAAAAAAAAAAAGCATCCAGGTTAGGATTGAGGCCAGGTTGTGTGGACTGGCTGTGTATTCTGTGTGTGTAGACACTGTGGTTTTCCATGTTGAGGAGGGCGGAGACCCAAAACATTCCACATAGCCAGCCACCACGGCCGCTCTGCAAATCCAAGTCCCGTGGGTCCCAGGGCTCAAGCCCCATTGTGAACCAAGGGAGACCCTCTGATGGAGAAGCCAGCCAGCGGTCACAGTTCTTTTGCGCACGTCTCTGTGCACTGACTGGAGCCTGGAGCTCAGGAAATGCTGGCTGAAGGAGGCTGTGACTCAGCCTCGCTTTGGGAGAGGCTTTCTGCCCTCACACACGGTGGTCCGGGCCAGCTCGGGGTGAGGGGCCTTCCCATCTGCAGGGCTGCCACAAGCAGCGGGTAGGAAGCTGGCTGCGAGGCTGCTGAGGAGTCGTGGGGAAGAGACATGCACGTCAACTTGGCGGCAGGACGAGCACGCGCCACTCGAGTGGGCACAAGTTCAAGGTCTCTAAAAGAAAACTTCCTGTGTCTGGACCCTCCTCTAGAGAAGATCCAGATCAGAGAGATACCACCACCTCCAGCTCCAAATCAAACCCTCATTAGGAATCTGGCCTTTTGGAGGTTAGATTTTCTGCCTCAACCTCATAGGCAAAGCCATCCTGGGTCAGCTCCCTGGTGGCTGGTGGCTGTCCCTGCTGTGTGTCAGTGCCCCCCAGCCCTCGCCAAGGGCTGAGTGCCCCCTCCTCCCTCAGAGCCCAGAAATCCTTCTACTCACAGCCTCTGTGCTCAACCCGACCTGGGGCTGGGGAAACCCTGGGCTTGGGTTTTTCAGGACAGCCCTGGTTTCACACATTCCTCCGGTAAATCCGGTAAACCCAACCCTGGGATGTTGGGTCTGGAACACATGATGTGCCGGGCAGAGGTTGGGAACTTGAACTGGAGGCTTCTCCCGCCAGAACTGCCAACGGAGGCCCCTCCCCCCACAAAGGCCCAATTCAGAGGGAGGTGACCTCAGTGGTGAGGGGAGGGAGGGAAGAGGAAAGGAGGAAGAGCAGAGTCCTCTTCAGAGGGGGGCGGAGGGGCAGTTTTCGGGGAGTCAGGGACAGGGAAGGGGAGAGACTGCTGCTCAGGGGTCACTGGGTAACTTGGGGATGTCACTGGGTGAATCTGGGTGACCGCTTCAGCCTAGTCGGTCATATGGGGCCCCAGTATCCCCTCCCCATTTAAAGCCAGGAGGGGACAGGGGCTTTCAGGGCCTGACAAGTTCTGATCGTCCTGGCCTTTCCACTAGCCAGACCAGAGGAGTGGGGTCTGCAGCACCCATCACTCTCCAGCAGGGAACAGGCAAGACCCTCTCCCTGAACTGAGTCCAGGCCTGGGAGGCAGAGGCCAGAGAGGTGGCAGCAGGCCTGTCCTCCATCCCCCATCACACTGGCCCTTCGCCAAGGCCTTCTGGCCCCTGGTGAGCCCCTCACTCACCAGCTGTTCCCTCCAGAGTCCTCTGGGGAGAGGAGCTGGGGCCCAAGAGGTGGGGGAGGGGCGGGCAGCTGTGGAAAAGCAGAGATGGAGCTCACTTTAATAACAGAATCACCCGTAACACCAACCGTTTTTCCTCGGCTCCCCTCCCCAGCTGCTTTCTGGAATCCCTTTCACCAGTCCCAGCCCTTTTACCAGTCACACCCAAGAGTCCACTTGTAAACAGCAACTTCTGCACCCTCAGCAAACACCCTTTCCAGCCAAGACCAGCCCTGGGCTGCCACGGGGTGTGGGGAGGGATACAAGGACTGAGACCTGGCTCTCAGGGCACTCCTGGCTTGAAAGGGGCCACTTTATCCCTGGCCCAAAGCATCTCTCAGCCTGAAGAATTCCAACTCCTCCCCACTCAGGGAAAGAGGGCAGACAAGAATTTCTTCCCTCCTCCTGACAACTGGCACCAGAGATACAATAGCCCTTCTGAGAGGCATCTGTCCTTGGGGCAGGGGCCCGCTGCACCCCCCTCCAACTTCCCCTTCACAATCATGCCAAGAACCTCAGCCATCATGGTTAGGGTTTTTCATAACCGGCAGCAGACTCAGTCCCTGGCCCTTCCAGGCAGGGCAGGAGGGAGGTCAGGAGCGCTATGAGCCCCAAAGGCTTCCAGATTTCCACATCCCTCATCTCTCCACTCTCAGAGCCCTCCTGTTCCCTGTCCACAGCATAACCCCACAACAAAAATAGCAGCTGCTGAGGGTGGGGAGAGGGAAGGGGTTTTAACACAATGGCTTTATTTATAGGACCACACACCAGGGGCTCTGCAGACAAGCAGCCTAGGCCTCACTCCCAAAAGCCCAGTCTGGCCCATCCTAGGCCAGCCAAAGGTACCAGAAAAAGTCCCAGACCAGAAAGCAGAAGAGTCTAGACCCTAGTCTAATTCAAACGCTGCAATGTACTTACTTGCTCTGTGAGTAGGTAAATCATTCAGTCTCTCAGGGACAAGTTTCTTTGCACCAAATGTAGGTTTTTCTACAACAGTGTTTCTCAAAGTGTGGCCCAGGGGCTCTGAGGCCCTCTCAAGGTGTCTGTAAGGTCAATACTATTTTCATAATGCTACTAAGACATTGTTTGCCTCTGTTATTTTCATTCTCTCATGAGTGTACTGTAGCATTTTCCAGAGATTATGCTATGTAATATCACAAGAGACTGAACACTGAGCAGATATGAGAACCCAGCTGCCTTCATTAAGTCAGGCATGAGAGATTTGCAAAAATAGAGAATAGTGACATTCTTCTCATAATTTTTGTTTTTGAAAATATATGTTAACGTGTGATGGGTTTATTATTGTTACTTTTAAGTGAATCAATTAAATAAATTTCAATATGTATAAAATATACAAACAAAAGCTCTTTGGGATTCTCAAAAAAATTTTTTTTGTTAAGTCAGGGTTGTTCTCCGTCATCCAGGCTAGAGTGCAGTGGCACAATCATGGCTCACCGCAGCCTCCAGCTCCTGGGCTCAGGTGATCCTTCTGCCTCAACTTTCTGAGTAGCTGGGACTACAGGTGCATGCCACAATGCCCAGTTAATTTTCTTGATTTTTGTTTTTTTTTTGTAGAGATGAGGTCTCGCTATGTTGCCTAGACTGGTCTAGAACTCCTGGACTCAAGCAATCTTGCCTCGGCCTCCCAAAGTGCTGGAATTACAGGTATGAGACACTGTACCTAGCAAAGGGGTCTTAATTTTTTTAAGAGCATGGGGGGGTCCTTAGAACAAGAAGTTTGAGAATCGCTCTTTTAGAAGCATGTTGTCCAGTAGAACTTTCTGTGATAACTTAAATGTTTAGTCTGTGCTGTCCAGTGTAGTAGCCACTAGCTACGTGTGGCTACTGAGCACTTGAAATGTGGCTTATCCAGCTAAGGACCTGAATTTGAAATTTGGTTTTGGATATCCATGTGTAAATTCAAGATCATGAGAATTCCTTGACTTGGGCATTTGAGGACAATGCTTCTTCCCACAATGGTGGGTGTTGGGAAGGGAGAGGATGTGACAATCATTCCTGTTTCCAAGCTTGTGCATACAGTACTTTTCATGCTCTCTTCCCCATCAGAAGAAGTCATCTCAGCCACATCGTTGTCCTGCCTGGTGATCCTACCAGGCTTGCTAT